TGCCTTTATCTCTCCTCATTTTTTTTTTGCTCCCTTATTGTTTTCTCTCTATTCTCCTTTTTTCTCCCTTCCTTCATTCATTGACGTAGTTCAGGGGCCCTATTCTTGAAATCGTATCGCATACGAAAATTTTATAATATATGTCACATATACACTATAGGATTTTCGTGCGCGTATGTTTCAGGAATGGAGCCCCAGGGCGTCAGCTGTTCTCCAGGCGAAAAATTGGCGGGAAATCGACGAACGAAACCACGATACATTATGGCACCGTCGAAGTTCCACTGGCAGGACGAAGTATACGTCCGCAAACAATTTCGGACAAAGTGACTAATATTTTTCATATTCGTTCGGCTGTCTCCGCCTTCTCTCCACCATCGTGATGACGACGTCGCGTGTCGCCGTTCAGCTCGGCAAAGAGGAGGTTAGTTACCGCGCGTTACCCGTGTGATCCGGTCTGTGCTCCGGTCTGTGTTTCGTAATCCAGCACGATCTCTGATTATAGGTGTCCGCATCTTCTGCAAAATTGCGTCACTCTCCAAGAAACTTGCCGCAACATCTGAAGGTTTGTGCAATTGAACGACTGTTGTAACGAAATACATGATTTCATGTATCACGAATTATAAATAACAAAGATCCAAATAAATTTTTGTTTTTAATCTTCAACTCGAATCGAATTTACTTATTGCGATCAGTCCGGTTTGTATTGGAATTTCTTTCTGCTTAGAGTGATATATTAAGTTTGTTTTATTTAGTTAAACTTGTATTGTTTATCTTTCCTTTTTTTTTCTAATGTAAAGAGAAAGAAAAGGAAAATAATGCAAAATGTTTAGCTAAAAAGAATGGATTTATTTCTTTATCTTTGCTATTTTTTTGGGGGAGTTTTTCTTATTCTAATATAATATTTTTAAGTGAATGAGTATATTTTAATGTTTAATTGTATTGTATACATAATTGTATATTGTATATTGTATACATAATTGACTCACATAAAAAAAAATTATAATGAAAGATATATATTTCATATTTTATTTGAAGAAAATTCAAGTGTTTGTGACTTCAAAAATCACTGATTTAATATTGATATATTTATTTCATATTTATTGAATATTTAATATTTAATAACTCAGCTTCTGTTTTTGAATTCTATGAATACCATTATTATTAATTTCTTATTTTTCTGAAGGAGAAGTTGGAACAACCAAGACCTGAAAGAGAACCTGATATAAAAACTTTGCCTTCAATTATCTTCAACGGTCGTATTCAATATGTGGATGACTTCTTTAAATGCGCTCAGATCTGTGATGATCTCATGTGAGTAGGGAAGACACAGAATATTTTTCAAAAATAGGCATAAAGACAGAAAAATCTGTAATAAAATGCAAATAGCATAGTAATAAAATATAAATATAAGCATGAAAAGTAAAAACAAATAATAAAAAAAATTAAAAGGATATGAATTTTTTTATTTATATTTCTAATTTTTCTTCCAGACAAGCAGTGAAGCACAATCAGAAAGAATTTGTGCCAGTAGGTTTTGATTTAGAGTGGCCTTTCAACTTCCAAACTGGCAGTGGAAAAACAGCGTTGGTGCAGATCTGTCTGGAAGACAGTGTGTGTTATCTTTTATATATTTATTCATTGAAGAAGCTTCCGGCAGCATTCGTGGAACTCCTGTGTCACTCAAAAGTTAAACTTGTTGGAGTCAATGTTAAGAAGTTAGTAGTTATTTTTTAATATAATTCCATGTTTTGAGAATAATTTTATTTAAGATACATGATAAACTAATTCCAAAGAGACTTTGTTTGAATCATACATAAATCATACCATATTGTAAATTTGTTTTTCAATATGTTAGAGAAACTAAGATAGCTTAAGGCTCCGTTTTCTCACGGCGCGACATGAGTCATATGACGTCAGAGGCGAGAAATAGTTTCTCGCGCTTTATTTTGTACTTTTTCCTTAAAAACATATTTTCATATTTTTAAGGGAAAAGTACAAAATAAGGCTATACGGCACCAGAAACTTTTTGCATGTCATTTCTCATTTTTGACGTCATAATTCAATATGACTGAAGCGAGAAAGCCGAATCTTAAAAGCATAAAATAATTTTTATCTTGACGTGCATCCAAATAGATCTTAATGATAACAATAAGATAACAATAAGAAATAATAAAATACAATAAGAAAGACATAATATGAAACTGTTTTTGTAAAAGAAAAAAATATAATTTCATTGTTAGATAAAAGTAAACTCTTACTTAAATACATTATTAAAATTTTCTATTATTATTAATAGCTTAAAGGATTCTCAAAATTTTTAGGATTCTTGATTACTAAAACGACATCGCAAGTGCATTTGTTTTCTGTTAGTCCTTCATACGGAATTGATCAGTGTTAAAAGATTTCTCGTTATCACATTTAGCTTAATTTATCGAGAATCAGTAAATTCTGTGTAGGCGGTAATATCAAAGCGTAGTCATTAGCATACCGTATATATTTTCTTTATTTAAATACATTGCGTTATCTGTTATTCTGTCAGCAATAATCATTGTTTCATTACAAATTTCGTTCCGCGTTATCTGTGCTATTTTACAAGCGCTTCTTTGTACAAAATATATATAATTAATAATCACACATTTGATATTTTGCAGCGACGTGTGGAAACTCGGGAGAGATTTTAAAGAGTTCCCTGCTCAGAAAGTGGTAGAGAATAATTGTCTCGATTGCGGAACGTACGCCAATAAAGTATTAAAGCGATCTTGCCGTTGGAGTTTGGAAAGATTGACTGCTTACTTGGTATTATATTTTATTTTGCCCAATTCCTTTGCATTTTCATAGATAAGATTAGAATTGAAACAAAATTCTTCATGTATCTAGTTGAGGAAGAAAATCAGCAAAGATCCCGAAGTTCGAATGAGTAAATGGCATATACAACCCCTCAGTAACGCCCAGAAGAATTACGCTGCCACGGATGCTTATGTATGTGTAATTTGTCACAAATATGCTGTGATGTTAAGGCTCGGAGTTTTTTCGCCACAACTATATTGTTTATATGATGATGATCGTAGGCGAGAAATGACATGTAATAAATTAATTGCTATGTACAGCTATTTTTTAATTTTCTCTTAAAAATTTAATAATTTCCTGATCCTGAAACTTGTAAAATGTGCGAGAAATTAAGACAATCCAATCTGTCACGTACAAATGTAAAATAATTAATAATAAAATAATTCTTGAAATAAATAATCAGTTTTTAGTCATGCTCATGCGATTGAGGAATGAACCATTATTTTAGGAATTATTTTACATTTCTACGTGAAAAATCGGATGTCTCAATTTTTCGCACATTTTACAAGTTTCAGGATCATAAAATTATTATGTTTTTAAGAGAAAATTAAAAACTAAAACTGTAGCAATTAATTTATTGAATATTATTTCTCACTTATGATGTTATAAAATCGATATAGATATCGAGAGAATTGAGTCTTATCCTAATAAAATCATGAAATATCAATAGTACTCTAAGGTGATCCGACCACTCTTAAACTGTGGAACATCGTTTGCAACACGAGTGTGAATAGTCGTTTTCGATATATTTTTGTTTGCTGAATTTGAGAAAAAATAGCATCAAAGAAATAAAGCTTTCAAAATTGTAGCTTTTTGCCTCTTGACACCATTTTTTTCAAATTGTGACGTGATAGCCAACTTTTATCAACGGATTTGTATTCACCACCTTAGAGTATTTAATTTCGCTGACCATTTTGACTATCATAATCACCGATTTGATCCCATTATAACGTATCATTGGACTCGTCTCGACGAGAAGAATCGAATGAAATCATTAATTCATAGTTCAATTTTCGGTCAGTTTTGGACTCTTTTATATTTTTTTATATACTCTTTTATATACTCTTTTATATTTTTGTCAAAGAATAAGAAGCATTTAAAATAATTTCTTTTACATGCAGGTATCTCTTCTTCTTTACATGACGCTTCAAGCAAAAGAAAAGAAGAATTAAAAACAATGAATACTCATTGAATCCTTCATTTTAATATTCTTGTTTTTCGACTTTAAAAACATTCAAATTAACGTCACTGAATGTCATCAAGATGCGTTCACAAGTGGTAAAAGTTTTATTAGCCGGTCGGTTACCGTACGGGGTTGGTCTACGATTGCAGAAGGCTTTAGCAAATCGGCATCATCAGCACACGGACGAAACTGCAAATACTCTAGTGCTCTTGGAGCACGAGCCGGTGTACACGGTAGGGATACGGGACAAGAGGTACACCGAGAAAGATGAGAGCAAACTGAGGAGCTTCGGCGCGGAGTTTTGGAGGACGAATCGCGGCGGTTTAATCACCTTCCACGGGCCCGGTCAATTGGTGGCTTATCCGGTGCTAGATCTGAAGCAATTTCACACAAGCATTAGATGGTACGTGCAACAGGTAGAACGTATGGTGATTCGCGTCTGCGCCGAGTTTGGTATCAAGGCCGAGACTTCGCCAGATACTGGAGTTTGGGTTGGCGATCGCAAGATCTGTGCTATAGGTATTCATGGTAGTCGTTATATCACTACCCACGGTCTCGCACTCAATTGCAACACCGATCTCAAATGGTTCGATCATATCGTGCCCTGCGGCATCGAGGGCAAAGGTGTGACTAGTATCTCTAGAGAACTGGACATGAACGTTACGTTCCTTGACGTGTTGCCGATTTTTAGGAACGCTTTCAGCGATCAGTTCGAGTGCGAGTTGATCGAGTATCCGCTCGGTGAGGCCTCGCAATTGTTACGAGATGCACGTCGTAGCACGTAGCGTTTTAAGAATATAATAGTTGTAAATATAATGTGATTTTTAAAAAATAATTAGCTTGTGAGTTTAACAGAAAATGTGCCTCGTTTTTTATCTGTTTAAGATAACAATGTTAAAGATGGTATTTTTTGATTCTTTTAGAATTCTGAAATATAAAGATTAAATAAATATGAATATAAATATTTATATATTTATATATAAATATATAAATATATAAATATATTTTAGATTATTATATAACAATGCATAGAATGCAAATGAAAAAAAATTTTAATGAAACAATATTAAAAATGACATAAATCTTTTAAGATGTTATTGGTATATATGGAATTTTAAAATTTCGATAAAATAATACTTGTAAATTATTACCATAGAAATTGTGAATTTGTATAAATTTATATAAAAAAAATAAAAATAAATCTTATAAAACTAATGTAAAAGAATCAATTTATATTTTGAAGAGAAGTACTTAGTTCAAGTTCTTATTTAAAAGCAAATCAAAAGCAGAAAATGAAAATTAATTTAACATTAAGCTCAGAAGAATTTAATTGATATATTCAGCTTTCATACACAGGATCCCGTCAAGACCATAACAACGCTTAAAGATAGATTCCTAATACCATTTTGAAACGAAAATCCTAATATCAAAATGTCGAGGCTGTAATGCTTTCTGAATTGATTAGGATTTTCCTCTCAAAATGAGGAATCTCATTAGGCCTGTTACGGTCTTTACGGGACACTCTGTACGCGCGTGCGCGCAATTTAAATAACACCCATTAATTATATAGTATTATTCTGTGTGCCAGGTAGTGTGCAAATACACAGCTCATGGTTCACGACTCATTGATTGATATTCATAGTTGATTCTTATTTCAAAACTGTCCTTAAGTAAATGTTTTAAGATACCAATACGGTTCCTGTAATTGGTGGATAACATCTTAAGATAATACTTTAGAAAGATTAGATTATCTTGAATATAAAAATCGATTATGAATACCAATCATTGACATATGTTTGTCCAAAAGACGACGTTGATTAGTTTTTCAGTAATCATTGCTTTACTAAGCATTATAGAAAAACATAGTTCTTTCGACTTAATTTCTTATAAGGAATACGTTAACGAATAACGTTATATAATTAGCGGGACGTTATTTAAGTTACGTGCACACACAACATATATATAGAGAGCTTAATAAAATATTCTCTGAAGTTTGTATACAATATATTACTTGTGCACAATTTATTTCTACACAGTCAGATCAAATTATCAAATGTATTTTGCAATTGAAAAGTAAAATTGTTTATAATTTTTCTATGTAAAAATCTTATATTTATTTTATCTTTATGATTTTATATGACGATTTAGAAAATCAATTTAATCAATTCGTTTTTTATTCATTGATCAACAATATTTTTATGATAGTTATTGGTCTTTTCACACAGTTTCAATAATAAAATGGCAATAATCATATTTACAAATTAATTACGTTGTCAAAATCTTAATATATGTAAATATAAATCAAATATTACATTATTTTAACATAGGGTTCGTGTATGCAGGTACTAAAGCATCAATGCCTTCCGAATTGGCTACATAAATAAACAACAATTATGCAAATATTCTTATCTATCGTACAGTATCGATATAGATGGATGCATTTAAATTGAATGCATTCTAAATTTTACGTCTCAAATAAAAAAAGAGTTTTATGACTAGATCAGTACAGATCTAAATAATTTAAACGCAATTTTTAAGATTGAGATCATATCACTATTGTACTTGTTCGGAATTTGATCGATTTGACTGAATATCAATATGAACGTATAGTCATATCATAATAATGATATAATCTTAGTTTTCAAAATTAACGAGCATTCAATTTAAATGTATCACTTAATGAAATTTACATAATACTGGACATTTAATGCCGTAAATTTTCAAGCATTTAATCAGTATAGAATTTACTTGATGTATTCAATATCTCGGAAATTTTTGCAAATCTTGGAACAAGATTAAAATCAACCATCAGATATTAAAAATGTTTGAAAATCTTGAAAGAACTACTAGAACGATTTGAAAGCTCGATTTCCGATCGAGAATCTTATAAAGTCATATGCGTTTCGAAATGATTTGAGACGTCAGCTCGTCACTAAATCTAAATAAAACTAGTATCACTCTGTCAGCACATGCAGATATCTTTGATTGTAGAGCTCTGTGGTAAGTGCGCCGACGATCTCGACGGCATTATGAAGAGAGTTAGCAGAATCCTTGATGAATCGAATGGCTCTTTCCACGTCTCCCCGTAGCTCTGCGTACTGCTTGTTTATCAGAAGTCCCTCTAAGCTCTGCATTGCTTTCACAGCCTCCGTACTAGGACGGATCTCTATTGTGTCCGGATCGGTCGATCTTAAAGGCGCCACACCAGGCGAGTGCGGAGTGTATCTGACTAGCTGCTGATCGGATTTGGATTCCGGTAATTGTGCCAAACAGTAGACGGCAATAGCACGACTCAAAAATTTGCATCTAAAAATTGAGTGCGTTGATTAGAATTACTACATGCGGAAACCTATTTTTCGACAATTAATTGTCAGCTTACCGTATAGTGAGCTGAGATCCTTTCCTTAATCCGATAGCTCCCAGGATACCCCATCCTTGTCCCGCATCGTCTGCTACCATTAATAACGCTCGTGCCAATCCCTTCAAGGCTCTCGCAGCAATCACTGTGTTCTCACTATACTGACATTGTCTGTAGATCAGTTCGCACGCTTTCGCCCATAATAAGGGCAATTTTTCCTCCACAATATCTCTGGATAAACGAAATTTAACATTAATATAAGGATAACATTAATATTTAGGAGTTTTCTTAGTTTCGTTTACGCTTCGAAATCACTCACGTGGTTTTAATAGCACTGATCCAGTCCACTAGATTAATCAGAAGCATACCCTCTTCTCGGATATCCCTGCAGGATGGAAGTCTTTTCAGCAAAACAGAGTAGAGGGCTAGCAATCTTCCGTCTGACACTAATACGGATTCTAATGGTGGCTGACGTGGTATCACGGGTTGCAGGATTGTCAGTACCGACGCCCATGTAGGTCGAATGTCTTCTGTTACTAAAAAAAAAAAAATCTCAGTTAAGTACAGAGCAATAATTATAAATACTAAATTTCGCATACAAAAGAAGATAAAAATGCGAGAATAGTTAATTAATTGCTTACTATTGTGTTTGAAGTAAGCCTCCAAGGCAGCCTCCATGAGATGACCCAGGGTAGACGAGGAAGCGACTGCCATTCCGATCACTCTTAACATTCCCATCAGTACTGGACTACTAGCTGTTCGTTCTGTCAACCATGTTG